ACTCCCGTGAGTAATATTAATAATAACAAACCATGACCTGGCACTGCCTATGTGCCTTTGACATGTATTAACTTATTTAATTCTCTAGCAACCTTATAGATGGATCTATTATCTCCCGTTTTATAGAGGAGGAGACTGAGGCAAATTGCACTTAAGTAACCCGCTCAGTGTGGCAACTGGTTAAGTCAGGGGTGGGGTTGGAGCACCTCGTCACCCTCACTTATCAGGGCAGAGATCCAAGGGGTGGTTTCTCCTTTTAACCAATGATATGCATTTCTTTCAGAAAGGAGGAGGCTTTGGCTAAGATGGACTTGTTTGTCCCAGGGCGGACTGGGCGAGGCTCGGCAGCCAGCACTGCTGCCATCATACTGGACTGTTTACAGCTCCCTGGGCCTGAAAAGTGTTTGCTTTAAAAAGATAATGTCTGGGTTTCACCGTTGGTTCCATTGGCTCATCTTCTCAATGGATGACATAGAAGGGTTATTGTGTTGGTCCAGGTGACCTTCATTTATACAATTAGGGCAAAAATGGTCCGAGTGAGAAGAGATTATGAAAAGGAAAGCAATGCATCTTTTATGAATTTATACCCTGTCTTTTAGCAAAAACAAACCAAAAAAAAGCGGGGGGCGGGGGGATTTCAAGCCCAACAAGATAGCATGCATTCAAATTGGGGTAAAAGAAAAAAAAATAACAAAGATAGCATCATAAAAGAGAGATGGATTAGATTATAACAACACTGCTCTAAGCCTTCTTGCAGCCAGGCCTGAGAAAGGAAACCTGGTCAGTTCCCTAAGGCTCCCAGCCTGGAGAGGCAGGAATTAGCGGAGTGGGTGAGGATACAGAAAAGTGGAAGTGAGGGCCAGGTGCAGGCTGTACCAGTGCTATGCTGCCCTGAGAATATCACAGTGGAGAGGGAGCATCAGTCTTTATCACAGAATGTTGTCTGAGCTGCACAACTTTCTCAGGACTTTAGCAGATGGGTAGTGAGACTTCTCACAGTGTTGAAAATACATAGATTGTTGTATGCTTTATTCTACTCTCTTCGTGCTATAAGTTAGGACACTTAATTCCAACAGGTGTCCATTTTGCAAGTATTTCCTTCTGTCATGAGTGATGCTAGACACACATCAGTGCCATGTCCCCTGTGGAATGATTAAATCACCATGAACTTTGATTTCGGCCCTCACTGAGGTTTTTTTATGGGCATTATCCTATCGCATGATAATGAAAATACCTTGTCTTTATACCTAATTTTTTAGTTTACAAATTACTTTTTATGTCCACAGTTTGCATTTTTTAACATTCCCATGAAGGAAACTGCTGGCTTTGTTTCGTGCTTCATTATTGGAAACACTGAGTCATAATAAAACAGATTGCTAAGAGGAGGAAGAAGAAGAAATTAGAGGCTTTTAGTGTTTGACCACTGCATAGTGCTCTTTCAGAGTGACTAGGTTGGTTTTTGGTGTTTTCGTATGATATGTTGCCATGTAGTGATATCGATGCTTTTTCCAGTGGTTGTTTTGAGATGGTACAAAAGTTAATACCCATAATGGATCTCTGGTGTCCCTTGGTTTGTTAAACATCTACCCTGAACTAAGGATAGTGGCTTCCATTCTGTGGCCTCCCTGGTGAGACATGAGGATGAGGCAACAATGGGATCTCGTGGGAATAGTTGGCCGAGCATCGAATGTCTGTTGGCAAACTCCTTTCATGGGAGCTGGTGGCTTACTGCTCTCTGAAGAACAGAAAGAGGAAAAGTAACGGGGTTCACAGGTCCGAGGCATTGGCAGGCCTGGGATTGAACCTGAACCACAGACTCTGTCCAGCACCCTTTCCTTGAACCTAGACTTTCCCGCTTCCGTCCTCACACAGATCCAGGCAGCAGTATGGGCCCAGTCCAGAATGGAGATCATGCATGGTAAGGCACCTCCCTCCAGGAAGGGCACTTAGCGGTCCTGGGATTCCCTTAAGGGCCATAATTGGGAGAAACCATGTCTATATAGATAATGCATAAATCTGGAGTTGGCAGCAACCACATGATGCATACTTCTGGATAAAAGCCTTAAAAGCGTCATTTGGAGCCACGGCTTGTTTCTCTGCCCCTTCCAGCACAGGAGATGAGTCTACCTTCTTTGCCAGCCCTCTCCTCATCGCTATCCTGAACCACTGCTCTGGCCTCACCCCTCCACTAAGCTCCTCTTATCTCAGCTGCCAGACCTCCGGGCTGCCAGATTCAGTCGTGTCTCCGTTTTCATCTTCCCTGAACTGCGTCAGCATTTAGCACAGTCGATCTCTCCCTCCTGCTTGATGCACTTTCTCCTAGCCCCACCCCGTCTCCATTCTCCTCCCTCACCTACCACTTGGCCTCCTTGTTAGATCCTTCTCCTTGTCTTGATTTTAGAACATCATTCCAGGATTCAGTCCTTGGGTCTCTATCTTGCTCAATCCCTAGATGATCTTTCTAGTCCAAAGGATTTAAAATATGAAAGCAGCTCCCTCTCCTTGTTATATCTCCTACTTTGTACTCGACTCTGCTCCATCTCTCCACTGAATATGTCCCAAAGACACTCATTAGAGACTTGTGATCCCAAACCCATGCCTCTAGCAGTTTCCACACCTCAGTCAATGGCTTCTTCCTGTTTCCAGTTGTTCTGGATAGAGATTTTCCTTCACCGTCGTATTTTTAATGCTTCTCTCTTTCACTTCTGCTTCCCAACTCTTTGGGTTTCTCTCCTATGTTTCCCAGGCTCTGTCCTGCAGCCTCCCTGCTTCTGTCTGCTTCCTGCTTCTCCATTTGCCCCTTTCTCCTCACTCCCCTATGTGTCTTCCTTCTGCGCTCCTGTGTTTGTTTACTGTCCTGCTGTGGCTTCATGTCATTGTTCTGTTTTCCCCTTTGACTGAATCTCTTTATCTGCTTGGCTACAGGAACTATTCATTTGCTCTTCAGAAAGCCCAATTATTAGCCTGAGAAGGGCATCCTTAATTCAGGGACAGTTAATACTACCTCCTATTCCCAGGGAATGGAAGAGATCAATCATCCCATCTTCTCTGGCGGATCTCAGTGGTTCAGGAAACCCCAAAATTGTCACCAGCCTCAGAGGACAAACTATCTCATGGAGTAATCTGCATTACAGCAAATTTGTCTGTCTCTAGAGTTTAAATTTTGCTTCTCTAAATTAAGGAGTTAGTTGGTTGAATATGCTTGCAAAAAGAAAGTTGGGTAGAGCCTTTTACATATGACTTTAAAAGTCCTTGATATTGTAGATGGAAAATCATCGGATATTTTGAACTCCTCTGCTATGTCAACCATCTAATTTACTACAACTCAGACTGTAGTAAATTAATTCAATTTGGGGCAGATTTCCAGTGAACACTGCTGTTGTTTGTTGAGAAGTGTTTCTTAATATTTCTCAAGTAACAAATATTTTCACACTTTCACAGATATAATCATTCAGAACGTAAGTGGACAGGATAACTTTACAGTTGGTTGGCCTGAGTGCTTGCTTCATGAGAGTGTGTGTACACCCTGCCCAAGGACAACAGATCATCTGTTTTAAAATGTCCTCTGTATCCAAGTGATTTAGTCACCTGTTGTTAGGAAGCCAGCAATCAATCAAGCATGCTAAGAAACGATGCCCTAGAGGCACCCACTCCTTAGTCTGGGCCTGGTCAGCCTGTTGTCTTCTGTGCCTGTTGGCCACCTCACTGCTTCTTAGCATTTGCATTCTTAAGTGGGAAAAGGGCATAAAGTGAGCTGGGGTACAGCTTTAGTCCCTGTATATTCTCTAGTAAAACATAAGAAAGGAGTATGAGCTTGACATTCACATAGCTTTATGTTATCCATGCAGCTCTAGGATTCTCATAGCTACTAACTATAAAGTGCCTTACTTTGTTTGCCAGGATGACAGTCAGCAGGGTAAGTCTGTGTCCTCAGATGCAGGGAAGATGCCTCCCTCTTGGGCTCAAGACATGCATTGATAGAGACTGTCTTAGGCTGGGGCAGGGTTTGGGGGTGGAAGGGATCAGTTTCTGGCTATAGGATAGCAGGTAGTTGAAATAAACCAGATGTACCAACTCAAAGTAAATGACCTAAATTATTGGGTTTGAATTTTAAAAAGTCGTTTATGAATTAATTCACACCTAGCCTAAACCTGCAATATTTTCTAAAGCCATTGAACTGCATCAGATGCAAAATATCCCAGTAGTTTGAATAAAATAACAATTGAATTGGCGTTTTCTTCACTTTGTGACCTCCTGAGAGTGTGTAGCCGTCTGGCACACTGGAGTGTTTAAAATCGGCCATTCTGGTGGCCGCGCATTGGCCTGGCCTGGATGTCCTCTTGGGATTTAATTCTTCCATGAATTAGACAAGGCTGATATCACTGTAGCTACTTTATTTGTGGGGAAATTGAGGCAGAGTGACCACAGTACCTCTAGTACCTCTTGCTCAGATTTACAGTCTGGATTAGGCCCAGAAGCCAAATCTTCTGGAACATGATGTGGCGGAACTCTTTTGCCATAGGGAATACCCGAGAGGGCATTGGTGATTCTTCCCCTGTCCCCAGGAACTGGTGGGGAGGGAGCCTGAGCATTGATGGTGAGGACAGAGGCATCTTCAGGAGACAGCTGTGGGCTCCCAAGGCTCTCTGCCTCTCACCTGAAGAACGGTGACCTGGGAAATGCCACTCCCTATAGGACCCCTTTTAGAAGACTCCAAGCAGGGAACAGCCTTGGAAAAGGAGGTTGGGTGACTTCTGTATTTTCTCTTCCCGAGGGACTCTACTTGCCATACTATGGTAAGGTTAGCTCCAAAATCATATACTGCTGTTTTATTTTAAATTTTTCAAAGATCTAGTTTTTGTGTGTTTATGCAAAGCACTCTTTAATTGCTGTTTTATTCTCTTCTGATTTTTAAAGCTGATTCAGAGTCTAGCGTGTTTTTCCCCCCCTCGGAATGAATAATTATCCTGACTATCAGAGTCTGTCTCTGTGTTTTCTAGGCATTCTAAGTGAGAGTCTTCAAATCATCTAGGAAGATGGTGGCCCTGTCCTTAAAGATTTGTGTCCGCCACTGCAATGTGGTGAAGACCATGCAGTTCGAACCATCTACAGCTGTGTACGATGCATGTCGAGTCATTCGGGAACGGGTGCCCGAGGCACAAACTGGTCAAGGTAGCTGTTGGTGATTTGCGGGCTTCTTGAAATATGTTTGTATGTTCTTCATTTAGTAGCGAAAGAAATGGAGGCTCTGGATGGTGCACATGCCCACTAGTATGTATGTTTCAACTGAAATGTCTTCTAAGCCTGGATACTACTTGCTTCCTGTGTGAGGCTTCCTGTGTGATGACATCTGCCACTGACGAGCGAAGCCCATCACCATGACCCTCCCAGCATTGCGCTCTGCAATTTACAAGTCACTTTTTGATACATCATCTCATTTGCCTTTTTGATACACTTTTTGATACATCATCTCATTTGCTGCTTATAACAATTATGGATTTTGTATATCCTGAGCCCTGTTTTCTGTGCATGAAAACTTTCCATTGCCAACAGCCTGAAGAAGACCTGAACTGCCATCAGGACCCAGGCCAAGACTTATATTTCAAGTACTTCGAAAGGACTTTGTAAATTTTATCTCACACCATTTTTTTTTAAAAAGGCATTTGTGATATATGTTTTGTTTAATATTTCGTTAAACCACTAAGAAGACCCCCATTAATCTAAATTTAAACAAAAGCCACTCATACCATTTTTCCATTTCCCTTTTTCTTCTCTCTACATTTCCTTCCTTTATTTAGTGATTATTTGCCAGACACTTGAGAAGCTGGAACTTCTCCCAGATTGATAAAACTTTTTTAGTATGGAAGTGGTATAAAACTTAGCTTAAAAATTGGAAGCATAAATATCAAGGATAATTATAGGTAAAATGGGTCTTCAAAATACATTTTTTATAAAACTGCTGATCTTTTGGTCTAAAGCATTATTTATATTATTTAAAAACACTTATTTCTAGATTACCCAGAAATAAAATTTGCTTACTTCCCCAACCTTACTCCAAATGCTGGTTGTTACTGTTTTTCTCCCAGGTTTTTCCCTGCTTTGGATTGGATCGCTTTGTAGCTCGGAAAGTATAAAAACCTTTAAAGATCTTGGAGTTGTTTTTCTAAGGAACAACAAGAGCTCAGACCCTCACCTGGATCTTTGAGGTTCTTTTGAATCACATTAAGAAAGAGAGGGGTCCTTATCCAGGAAATGATACTGCTTTCCTCCTGCTACCACCCTTTGTACTTCCTGGATTTCTATGGAGAACATGGAGTTTAATTATTCAACTTTTTTCATAATTGGTGGCATGGAGGCCAGAAGCTCCATCTCACAGGGAGCTCCTACTTATCTTCTTTAATACTATGTTGAGATGATGGAAAAATTATTCCAAATGTAAAGGCTCCATTGGTCCCTCTGTGCCCAAGTGGCCTTGGGTTTAGATGGTCATTTTATTTTTTTTCTCCATTTCTGTCTTATTATTCTTCATGGATTCTTGGCCTGGTTTTTATAGCAAGTGATAAGGAACAGAGCCAAATTCAGTTAGAAAGAAATTTGGACTGCTTTGTTCCTGATGTTTACCTCAATTTTAACACAATTACTTCCCACTGGTTTTAAGAAAAATGAACCTTGTCTGCGGGTGTTGCTTTTGCAACTCAGTTCTTATTCCTCCTCAACTGCTTTAGTCCCAGTGGCTGCTTGTGGTGTCAAAACGAAACATTTCTCTACTGAAGAAGACTCATTCTTGCCAGGTCAGCAGACTCAGGGCCTGGAAGTCAGTGATGGCTTCATTACTTTGTCTTCTATTTTTCTTTCTATTTATCTTCCAGCTTCTGACTATGGGCTGTTTCTCTCTGATGAAGACCCCAGGAAAGGAATTTGGTTGGAAGCAGGCAGAACACTGGATTACTACATGTTGCGAAATGGGGTATGCAACTGATCTCGTTTCTTGGTTTTTGAAATTGCTTTGTCCCTGAGCCTTCCATAGAAATCAACACAATTATGCTTCAAAGTAAAGGGGAGACCCAATGATTTATTTTGATTCAAGGGCATCTTATTAATAGTTTCGACATAATGTATTTTGTAAGGGCTGTCCTGGTCATCATAGACAATACCAGTAGTCCAAATTCTTGAAACTCCACAGAGCAATTAAAGCAGCTTGAGGTTAGTATTTAAAGCTGTTTCTACATGCCATTATCGGACTTGGTAGTTACGAAATAAGGTACAGCATTTTCGTGAAGTATCCTAGTGATTGGTGATAAAAAGTAATGATAGATTTGAGGGAAAACAAAAATATAATCCTCAAGGTAGTCAAAGATTGAATTTCAATCTGTGTTTTGTTTTTTTAAAAGAAAGTTCACATTAGATGTAAGTTTAATAATTATCCATAATAGTAACAAAAAAAATGATTGTGCTATGGAAGTGGAGAGAGTAAATGTGTATGAATAAATGAGTAAAAAGTGTTAAATGCTCTGTTCGTTTTAACCTCTGAGATACTGAGTTTTGGTATGTGAAATGCACGTCAGATTGGTCAGTATTTCATAAAGCAAGAGCGAAGTAGGCTGTGCTGTTTAATTTTCTCCTCCATAATTCTATTTTTAAGATGTGTAGTAAAAAAGTCTCTGTTTAGAGATAACTCCCCAACTTATGACCTTTGATTGGCCTTGCCATTACCAAGAAAACTAGTCCTACTGTGATATCCTGTAACTGCGAGGAGTTATGGGGGTGTTATTTATGTCCTTCATGACATAGATATTAAGAATTGCTTATAACCATGTAAGAGATAATTGGAGAAGCACACAACTGGCTTTTTAAAAGGCAAGTAGGAATTTTCCTCTGCTAATTCTCATTAGAGCAGATCCTTCCCAGCCTGTCAGGAGGACATATGCTACTTTCACTTTACAGAGGTTAGTTTTCAGTAATTGTGAGCTATAAATAGTATTCTTTGGGTGCAAATTCATTATCAGATATTTTAACAATCTTAATGAAAGCAATTATTTAACCCTGGAGTTCCTACATTAGTGGCAAAAACCTGGTGAACGCTTTAAAGGAGAAAATCAGAGGTGTACCAGAAAAATTTTATTTTTTAAAGAAAGGTGTCCAAGTTCATTATCTAGTTTCCTATGCCATATGAATGTTTGTGTGGTTCTGCTCTAGGATATTTTGGAATATAAAAAGAAACAGAGACCTCAGAAAATCCGGATGCTGGATGGATCTGTGAAAACAGTGATGGTGGATGACTCCAAAACAGTTGGGGAGCTTCTGGTTACTATTTGCAGTAGGATAGGTGAGTAATCACATGCCTAGGTTCAAGTTTTTGTTATTTTAATTACATGCATCTTTTTTTCACCCCTATTTAGTATCTACGCAATCTTTAATGTGTCCTGCACTCTGATTTCTGCCAATCTCAAGAGAGTATGATCCTTCTCCTGATTTGCAAATGCACTGACTGGTACTATAAACACTTGAACTTCTCACTAAATCAAAATTGAGAGCTTTTACTTCTCTTTCAAAAGCTGAGGAATTTTCATATTGCAAATACTGTTTCTGAGATCATATAATTCTGTCTCCCACCCATTGCAGAGATTCTGTATCTCCTTGAGGACACATGGGAACAGCCTATATATGATCGATTGCTACATAGCTTTTTTTCTTATAGCTTCTATTAATCTCAGAGAACAAATCTGTTTCCTTTCTACATAAGACTCTTCAGATCTTTGAAGAAAGTAGCCTGGTCTGTCTTAGTTTACTCTTCATGCAACTGGAGCCCAGCTTCTTCAGCCATTTCTCGTTTGACATTGTCTTGCCTTGTTCTACATGATCTCTACTTCGTACTTCTTGAAAATTAGACAGAAGAACTGCACATGACATTTTAAGCATAAACTAACTGAAAATACTCCTTTTCAGCCAGAGTTATTTGATATGTGCTCCATGGGTGGCCCCCGACCCTCATCTGGGTAAAGCTTCTTTCTGTCCTTTGCCACCATGGACTTCTAGGAGTATTACAGGACCCATATTGTAAGAGGAGATAGCAGTATGTAATCTGATAATATAACATAATTTTTATTTTTAGGAATAACAAACTATGAAGAATACTCTTTAATCCAAGAAACAATTGAAGAAAAGAAAGAGGAAGGGACGGGTACGCTAAAAAAAGATAGGACACTGTTACGAGATGAAAGGAAAATGGAGAAGTTGAAGGCTAAGCTTCACACAGATGATGACCGTAAGTGTCTGAGAAGGAAGTGTGACACAGGCACATGGTTTTGCCAGGCCTCACTCCCCTCCTATCAACTATATGACCCAAGGCAGGGTTTTTTGTTTTTTCGTTTTATCTGTAAATATTTTATTTAGTCTGTGTCATTAAAAGATTAAAACTATTAAAAAAAATGACTGTTTTACTTCTAAAAACATAATCTCTTCATCAAATATATAAGGCATGTTTAAGTTTTCTCCGTTGTCTTCTAAAAAAATTTTTTTTAACAGTTTGTTTGAACTGGGGTTCAAATAATGTTGAATGATGTGTTGCTTACCTCTTTTAGTTCCGAGGACTTGCCTCCATCTTTTATATTTTGTTTTCTTCAAATTTTTAGGAGGAAGAAACCAGATTGTTATTTGTATAGAGTTTTCTATAGTTTGGGTTTTGTGATTGCATACCTGTGACGTCATATAGCATGTTCTTCTATCCTCAGGTCCCCCCACCCCCCGCCCTCCTTTTAATTACTGAGATCTGGAGGCTTGATCAGATTCATGTGTATGTGAATTTTTTTTTTTAAATAAAGACTCCTTCATATGTAGTGTTGTGTACAGTAAGTCCTCATTTAATGTCATAGGTTCTGTGACTTTAAGCAAAATGATGTATAAAAAAACCAGTTTTACCATAGACCAATTGATAGAAATGAGATTTAAGTTTCTACAGCATCTCATCAACGTTAAGATGGAACGATGTTATTAAAGAACCTGCTGTACTTCCATTAGGAAGTTGTATCTGGTTGTTTCCTTTTTGTGTTATTAATAACCATTGATGATCATTGCCTAGAGCCATCATTTCCTTAGGGGTTACAACATGATAATATAATTCTATCATAGGAAAGTAATTTTCTATGATCACATAGCTAATATTTGGAAAAGCTATCAGTACAGCCCATGTATCCCCAAAGCCTGTGCTGTGTGCACCTGGCTTCCTGACACCCCTCCCTCCAGAAGATCTTACTTCATGCACAATTCACTGAGACTTTTCTAGCTTCTTTCTTTCCTTGTTCTTGCTGCTACATCAGGAAGATGTCATCATCATCATTATGTTTATTGATCTTCAATGGGATTTTCCTCTGACCCTTTCTCCACTTTTTCTGCCTCATTTGATTTCCAGTTGTGTGCTTCTTTCCAAGTGAGACTTTAGTAGACAAATCAGAGGATTTTTAATAACGTGTATGATACTCTCCCCGGTACTATGGGAAATGAGGTCAATCTGACACATTCCCTGTGCTAACGTTGTTTATAATCTAGTGACGCTTGCAATAAATATATGATCGATTGCTAGAATGTATATGTTAATCCTAGGGAGGAGTGTAGGAATGAGAGGTGTAGGAATTGTAGAGAAGTGTTCAATTCCTGTGCACCTTGATATCAGCCAAGCGTTTTCTGAATGAGTGAGATTCAAGCTGGGCCATGGGCAGGGTTCTGCCACTCCCACTTCCTAGTGTCCTGTCCTCCCCTCCCCCCAATTACTTTCATTTTCCTCCTCTTTTCTCCTTAGGGTCAGAGATAACTCATTATGCTCAGTTTATAAATTATTTCACCTGACAAGACTGAAATATCCACTTTTGACTTAAAGGAAAATGCTGACTTTGTTGTCTTGGCATAAAGCACTAATTTCCTTATTTCTTTTACCCCCTAGAGGGAAGGGGCATATTATAAATTCACTGTGGGGCTTTAACTAACTTTAGAAATGGCTGGCAATTTTCTCTTATTTGCTTCTCAGTATGTCATGTGGTACATGATGGTACACGTAAAATTACTTTGCGAAATTAAAAAGCACAGTTCTAACATAAGTAACTATTACTGAATATCAGCATTATAGAAATCCACATCTGTATCATACTGCTGTTTTGATAAATCTCCTTAAATTAAGAGGAAAAATAAGCACAGCTCTTTCATCTGTCTTGTGTTGCAGTAAATTGGCTGGATCATAGCCGAACATTCAGAGAACAAGGAGTAGATGAAAATGAAACGTTGCTGCTTAGGCGAAAGTTCTTTTACTCGGATCAGAATGTGGACTCGAGAGACCCTGTGCAGCTGAACTTACTTTATGTTCAGGTACCATATTTGATGCCCAGACATGAAGGTTGGTGAAAGTTCAGGAAGCCCCTGGCTGTGGCTAGTGCTGAGCAAGAGCTGGACTCTGGCTTCCATCGTATGTGTGGCATGCGGTTTCCAGGAGGAAACTTCTTTTACAACATGGTAATATAATTCTACCATAGGAAAGTAATTGTCTATGGCCACACAATTAATATTTAGAAAAGCTATTATTACTACACCCCATGTATCCCCAAAGCCTGTGCTATTCCTGGTTCCTCACATGTGTTTGGTTATGGTGCAGACTGATATTTGATGTGAGCTGCTGGCCATCAAGAGGAGGGTCTTTATTTGGCCTCCCAGATAGGGACCTGGCGGCCTGTACTATCTCTCTCTTTCTGGCTTTGAGGCACTTAACTGGCTCACCACTTCAAATGCACTAAAGCTTTCTAGCATCTTAAAATATAAGTGAATATTGGTCAGAAAATAAGTACGTCTCATTAACTAAACAATATCCTCTCAATAACCTTGTTCTTTACCATTAACTAATTAGACTTAGACAAGTCATTTAACTCATTTGAGTTGCAGTTTCCCAATATGTAAGATGTGGTCTTTGGACTAGCCAGCCCCCAAGGTTTCCTTTGGCTCAAGGAGAACATCCATTTTTCTTCCTTTCTTACTTCTTTCATTCTTTCCTCTCCTATTTACGTACCTATGTGTCTACAGTAGAAACCACAGCATCACCTGTGTTTGTAAAAGAATTTTATTGGAATGCAGCTCATTCGTTCACATATTACACATTGTAAGCCCCCTTTTTGTCACATAGTTGTTTATATAGTCCATGGCTGCTCTCATATTCCAATGGAAGAGTTCAGTAGTTCTGACAGACAGCATGGCTCACACAGTTTGATATGTTTCCTATCTGGCCTTTTACAGGAAAAGTTTGCTGATCCCTTAGTAGATGGAAAAATGGCATGGAAAGAGGACTAGGAGGAAAGAGGCTGGGAGGCCAGAAGGAAGGGAGATATCAGGGCAATAAGAAGATGCTTGTTTGGTTTAAGACTCAGAGCCATAGCTTAGAACAGGGGTCCCCAACCCCCCAGCCACGGACTGGTAGGACTGGTACTGGTCCCTGGCCTGTTAGGAAATGGGCCTCACAGTAGGAGGACTAGCGATCCAAGATTCATCTGTATTTGCAGCCAGTCCCCAGCGCTAGCATCACCATCTCAGCTCCACCTCAGATCATCAGGTATTAGATTTTCATAGGAGCTCTGGTCCCTGGTGCCAAAAAGGTTGGGGACCGCTGGCTTAGAGTGTTCATCTGAGAGTGATCTGATGGTCATTTGAGTAGAGAAAAGAAAGCCAGAAAAGGAACAAATAGCAATAGCAGTGATGGACCAAGAACTAGGAGAAGAACTTCAGTGAGTTCCTGACTCTAGGACTGTGTATTTGCTTATGATTTCCCCTAAATGTCTGCAGTATTGAGTTCTCGTGTCTGTCTCTGTTCCCCTTCCCTCTTATTTATCTTGGGATGGGGGTTGGGTTGATTTTACCTCTAGATAATTTTCCTATTTGCTTTATGATTTAGGGTCATTAAAAGTATGTTGTATTTGTTTCCCCCTCTGTGGATCTGGTCATTTCACAAGGCTTTCCCTTTGCCTCTTTACTTTTCACAATTCACTTCTACCTTCCTAGATTATACTCAAGCTTTAGTGTTAATACACCGGACATGGCTGAAGCTGTCCATCTACAGGCAATTTTGGGTGAAGACTTTAATTTTTGCCCTAATTCTACTGTGCTACAGTCAGCTGCTGTGTCCTGAATGCATCGCTGTGGGTTGGCTGGTACATTTCCCCTTGCTCCACAGAGAGTATGCACCCAGGTGCAGGAACGTGTCAGTCGACAAAATGTGTTATTCTCTCAAGCTCCTGATGCTTTTTGCTTTCTCCTGTGTTTCAGGCTCGGGATGATATCCTGAATGGCTCCCACCCTGTCTCCTTCGAGAAAGCTTGTGAGTTTGGTGGATTTCAAGCCCAGATACAATTTGGACCTCACGTGGAGCACAAACACAAACCCGGATTCCTAGAGTAAATGACCTTTTGTTTTCCTTTTTTCTCTTTTCCTCTTTTTTTTTCCCACTGTTTATTTTTGAGCTAGCTAGGTAAAATGCATACCACAGTTTCAACTAGTTGTGAGATTGTTAGCTTTTCTTAGTCGAGTGTATGATCAAATTTGTGGGCCTTCGGGAAAGCAAGAGACCTGCAAATTCAGTGTTGGGATGACTGAAGGTTATCTGCTTCAGAATCTGTAGCACTCTGCCAAGCTGTACTGTCTAGCACGTCCTAGGGTATATCTCTGGAGTTGAGGAACGTACTTCTTCCATCTCCTGAAACTTCTACATATTAGAACATGCCTTCTTCAAACAGAGCCAAATTTCATCATCTTTAATTTCTTTTTAAGACTCTTATATGAGAACAACAGAGTATAAAAGACAGAACTTCACATTCTTTATTACTCTCTTACAAATTCTTCATTGCGTCGAAAGGATGATTAAATACTTGCTCCACTCTTTTCACCCTTCTGATCTTTGGTTCCCTTTTATAAAATGATAGGGGTATTTTTCTCTGGCTCAGACTGAAGAGAAAACTAACCCTACAGATTCATCCTGGCCCCATAGAAAATGGGCCTTAGGGTCGGTTTCCTGGAATACCCAGCAGGACAAACCCAGCCATACATCGGCTGCTATTGGTCGGAGGTAATCTTCCCCTCTCTTTTGATCTGGGGTTCTTCAATGTTTTTTTTTATGTTTCTTCCTCTGTTAACATTCCATTATCTATCACTCAATCTCCCTTTCTGTCTTTCTTCTCTTTCCTCTTAGGGAAGATGAAACATTTGGCTAAGCCAAAAACAAAAATAAAAAATCAGAATCTTGACGTGATCAATATCTTGCTGTCACCTAGAATACAACTTGTAGAGGCTTTAGAAGTGGGGACCTGATGCTAATGCTGACTGGGGGTGGGCGGGTGTCAGGTTTCCTGCAGGATATGCCAACATGAAATGTGCTGAGTAAGTCATCCATTGTATTGTGTCCAAGTCTATTGACTCCACTTTCACTTTGGTGGAAAGTAGGAGGGACCAGCAGACACACCCTAGAGTAAGAAGAAAATTCTCCTAGTGGCTGAGAATGCGGGGCCAACACGCTGTTTGGTCTAAACTGAGTTGTTTTGAAAGAACTCTACCCTTGGGTTAATGAATCTCAGGGGGCCTTTCTAAAATGATGCTTTGTCCTACAGTATACCATATGATGACTTTCAGAATGGTTTTGAGCAGGTCCTGTCACTTTTGTTCTATATTCTCCAAACGAGTCATATGGCCAAGTGTTCCTCAGGGCCCATTTGTACCTAGTCAGTCTGGCCTCCTTGCAGGAGCCACAGGAAGCTTGCCTTTCTCTCTGTTCTGTGACACCCAGGACACCTTACAAAAGGTGATGTGCACATTCTCTTTTAGTAGTTTCACATTTCCACATTCAAACCTCACAACTGGCCCCTCAGATACATTTGGCATCATAAACTTGTGGATTATGGCCATGGAAATTAACTGATAAACATCAAGAACTCATTAAGCCCTGGAGGAAACAACACCTTTTGTTTCCATATGCTTCTTTGAGTGACTAATGAAGAACAGGAGAAAATGAAGAATAGATTTATGAACCAAAAAATTTTAAGATATTTGCACATTTTGGGGCTTTCTTAACTGTAAACTTACATGGCCCCGATAAGAAGGTGATCTAAATGTAGCCATTCATCGGGTGCCTGAAATGATGCTGCTACCCTGGTCATTTCATGCATGCCTTTTCTCTAAAGTTTTGGGACAGCTAATTCTCAGGGCCCCCTTAATTGTGAATTAAGAAGGCAATGTGTGTTATGCCATAGATGTAGAAGAGTCACAGAGGAGTAGTGGCTTATTCAGGTACACAGAATTTTTCCACAGGTAGCTTTTGACTACTCACACTGAGTCCTCTTATTTAGAAAGGGAATCCTACTTTCACAGTTGTTCCTTTCACTGGCCTCCCAATATGCAGCAAAATTGGGAAAGTGCTTTACAATGTGATTACAAGGTCCTGTGGTCTCTTTCCGAGCGTCACTAGTTGTGCCAACTACATCAGAGTGAATGTTTTTGTACCGCTGACTGCTGGTGTGAGGATCACAAATACTGTCGGAGCATTAGTATTGCTCTTGCAGTATTTTCTGTGATTTACTGGCCTATCGAACGCTGCATACCAACACTCCATTAAAGAGGTCCCTTCTCTTAATAATCTGAGATAGCCAAGGTTAGGTAATTATATTTAGTCAATTTTCTTATTTCTGAGATTATAGTATAAAGCTCATGCCTCTAGTGGTATGTGTATTTTTACTCAGATTCCAGATTAAACAAGCTCATTATATCTGGTGGCAATTATTTTTCCTTATGAAATTGATATAGTTTGTAATTAAACCAAACCTAGTCTAGGTAATGAGGCATTTTCATTTAATGTAGATGTTTCATTACGTACATTATTCCACATACCACATTTCCCTGATTGTATGTTGGACAGTCAGAGTCTGTTCTGGGATAATATACCTGGGCTGTCTCCAGCGACTGGCTGGGCCATGTTTGCCAGGCTTTATATTTTTCCCCCATCTAGCTTTCCTTCATATATACTATCTGCTTGAACAATTCAGAGTTTTAAAAATAACAGAAGGTTGGAAACTTGTCACAGAGCCAGGCTGAAGATATAGCCAGGCTAAGATTTCACCCACCTATCTTCCGGGTAGGGTACATTTAGTGAGTACATTTTTTTAAATTTTTTGAAAATTTGTTTAGCATTTTTGCTCAAAGTCAGCATACTATGGACCTTTTCATTAGATTCTTTTTCACCTTTCTTCAGGCTCTGTAATGCTTTCTGGACTCAATAACACCTTGGTAAAAGTGTTTATTTAGAATAATGAAAATCAGAAATTAAAAGATTTTCAGAGTTTTCATGGATTTAAGGGTCTCCTGTCTGCTCTATAGATGGAGAAAATAGTGCTTTATCTACTTGACACTTTTCTTCAGGTCATCTCCAAAGAGTCCCCAAAAGGGACATTTTATGGGAGCATTTTAAGTATTAACAACACAATCCAAAAATCATATATATACATTATGCTCTTCCGTGTTTAGCAAGTGACTACGGAAAGCATGCCACATGGTATTCTTTAACTCGTGGAGGCCGTCATACATGTGTTCTATTGTGCCAGCTATAGGGAAGATATAAGGAGATATTATGTACTAATTCTTTGTTCTTTTTGAGACTACAATCTGTTTGGCAAATAAAAATATGAAATTGTTATTATGGAGAACCAAAACTTGGCTCTGACTTCAACAGGGTCTAATCTTTATGTTTTGAATGCAGGGTGGTTTATTTAAGATTCCAAAAGTTTCAGTGTGGGCTATGTGAACTATTATGAGTTGTTTCTAGAATGATGGCAAGAGTATGGTACAAGAAGCAATGTTGATCAAAGAATTTGGAAAAATAGAAAGTACATAAGGTAAAGAAGAATTAGCTCTCAAAACAGCAACAACAAAACCTATTATAATAATGATGAACCCCTTGTAAACGTGCAACACTTTAAGAAGTGGTTAGAATCATAGCCTTCTATAGACTTCACTGTATCAAAGGAGATTCAATGTGCGATAAAATTTAGTCTTTAGGTCAAATAAATGTGATAAAATTGAAGATAGCATTAAGCGATGGCTATAAAGTGTTGTATAATTCTTTTAACATTGTGTGTGTTTGAGAGTTTTCATAATAAAATATTGGGGAAATATCGGTAGCCCAAAAGTGTAAAAGTGTATAACTTCCAAACCAGTAAGGGGTAGGGAGTGTAGAAGAGATACGAACAACTTGACCAATACAGTAGGAGTTGTACAGGGTGGATTATTGAAACAAAGCAAGAGAAAGTATGGTAAATAGAATATATAAAATAAGATATGAGAAATACTTCTAAATATATTAGGCATCACAGCAAATACAGTTGATCCTTGGACAGCATGAGTTTGAACTGTACAAGTCCACTCATATGTAAATTGTTTTCAACAGTCGGCCTTTTGTATTGCAGCTTGTACATCTGTAGATTCAACCAACTTTGGATCAAAAACAGTATTTTCACATTCCCAGCCATTGCTCAAAAAAACTGTTTTCAAGCCACAGGTGATTGAATCCATGGATGCGAAGATCTGACTATAGTTAAGTTTTGGGGGAGTCAGGAGTTATATATGGATTTTCAACTGCATGGGGTAGGCACCTTTTAACACCCGAGTTGTTCAAGGGTCAACTATATGAGTAAAGCAAACTGAAATAGGCAGAGGTTCTCATTTCAGATAGAATTTTTGAGAAGTCCAGCTCTATACTATCTCTAAAAGGCACACTTAAAATTCAAGGACAGAAGGTAGTTCAAAGTAAGGGTGTCAAAAATGATGCACCAGGAAAATAGTTAAATAAAAGCTAGAGAAGTTGTATTCAATGTCACACAAAATAGACTTGTAAGGCAAACAAAACATAAGTAGAGGCAATGAAGGTCGTTATAAAGATAGGACTAATTCACCAGGATAATATGCACCTAACATTACCTACATGCACCTAACATTAACTTGAAATGTAGAAAAGAAAAATGGTATTTCAAGGAGAATTTTGGATACACAATTTTAGTAAAATTAGTTAACATACCTCCCTCAGGGAGTGATAAGTAGAACAAGATCAAAATAGAAGAAAATATTTTAGCCAAGAGAAAGTAATGAAATAGCAGTCGTAGAATCAACAAAACCAAAAGCTGCAGCTTTGGGGAAAAAAATATGCAAATATCTGGTAAGTTTGAACAAGAAAAATAAAAGAAGAAAAATGCAAAAATAAATATTAGTAATAAAGATGGGGTAGAACTTCAGATAGAGATTTTTTTTTTAATCTTCTAAGCATTATATGTTCCAGGTATTTTTTTTTCTTTTATTTATTTATTTATTAT